GTCATCACCTGCCTTTTTGAGCTTAAGAAATTAAACAAAAAACTAAGATGCCGCACAGGTCAGACAGGAACAGCCATGGATCTCATCCAGGGAGGCAGAATACACTTACACTCTGTAGAGTGGGGACAACACAATGATACAAAGCTATGTGCCACTTTCTTCCTACTACACAGGAGGAGGTGCTGAGGGCCCATCCACTGTTCAGCATAGTCCTGCTTTCATTTGGAACAAGCAGTCTTAAGTCATTGCCTTCTGTGTGATCTCCAAGCCTCAGCAATTCCCTGCTGGTATCCAGGGACAGGAACAACGTTAAGAATCATGACAAAACTGGAAACAGGCCTCAGCCTGGAGACAGCATGGCACTACAGGCATAAGGACTCACACTCCAGTACATACACACCCGAGGCTTGGGACACTTGCCAAAATGCTAAAATAACTTTATCTGTAGCTTCCATTCTGGATTAATGAACATGATCGGTAAGTGGTCTGAAAGGACATCTTCACAGGCCAGGAAATGTTGTTACATCAGGAAAGGTGGCTTACAACTCAGGGAAGCCCAACAATGAATCCTTTCATCCTTAAAAGAAAACTGGAGATGCCCAGACAAACTGGCAAGGAACATTAAGCAGTCTGTAGCCGGGAGACAAGGGGTGCCAGTGCTGATGAAGCACTAGTGCCACTTCGGGGAGAGCCACAGAGCAATTATCCTGGGCTTCCACTTTTTGAGAAATAATAACTTCAGGAAATCATCTCAATACAGTCAGGGAGGTGCAACTTATATAAAAATACCCACAGGGCTAAAAAAAAATAAATAAATAAACATAGTGCAGTAAATTTTAAAGCCTGAACTCCAACATCTATTTCTTCAGAAAATATTCTAGTGCTATCTGAGCAATGCTAAGTAGTTTGTGTGTAAGATGTCAGTACATGAAGATGTGTGTGTGGAATGGCATTCACTGCTCAGGCAGATCCAACTACCTCTGTAACACAGCCATGTCTAAGAGTCCCTGAAGCAGAGCATGCCGCCTGCCTACAACTACCCACGCAATGCAGAGGGCAGACAGCTTGCCAGCTCTCCACAGGGAGGAAGAAACGAGGACAATGCACAAGCTCAGTGCCTGGCTTCTGGAACCGAATGAAGAGTCAGTAAAAGTAGCTGGTGCCGTTGCCACGGCTGATTTTACATCTCCGTAACCAGGCAAGGAGCTTGCCTGAGTCAAGAAGTCTCATTTAACATTCTCAAGTGTGGGAGGGAGGGAGGCAAGAACTGTCACACGGTTTTAGCTGCCACCCCTGCCTGCCTTGACTGTCTGGTGTGGGATCCACCACAAAAGGGAGAAACAGCAGGACACGTGGAAGAACTGAGAAGCAAGTGGCATGTCTGCACTCCCCTGCTTGGAGGTGAGAAGGTCAGAAGCTCTTACTGAGAGTCTAGGGATACCAATAACAGCTCCAAACGCCACTCCTCTTCACAGATGCTGCAAGGACCCTCTGTGAGTGTCCCAGGGTTGCTATGATAAAAATCAGACTGGGCCAAAGCAGAGGGTATTTAAAACATCACCCATTCATTTCTTATAGTTCTGGAGATCAGGTGTCCAAAATCAAGGAGTTGGCATGGCTGTACCCGCTGCAGGCTTCAAGGAAGGATCCTTTTACTTCTTCTAGCTTCTGGAGGCTGCTGATATCCTTTGGTTTATGGCCACATCATTATAGTCTTTGGTCTTCATAAGGACTTCCTATGTCTATGTCTCTTCTTCTGTCTCTTTTAAGGGTGTCTTTCACTGAATTCAGGGGTCATCAAGGAAATCCAGAAATGATCTTGTACTAAAATTCCTACTTGTAAAGTCCTTTTCCTGAAAAAAGGTTATATTCACAGCCAACTTCCTGGTTGAACAAGAAGCAGTTAGTAGGCATGTAGAGATTAAGGAGCTGAGTGTTCATCTCAAGGATCATAAAGAAGTCACACATGGCCACAGTGATGACCCACAGGCACACACCACCCATTATCCCCTTAGTTAGGTAACCTTTTCTTAATTCTTATGCTGAGTCCACACAGCCAATACAATGTGATGAGTGGGTCAAAAATAAACCCTTCATGAATAAAAACAATCTCATTAATAGTTCATAGGATTGTCTCATATATGTACTCAGAAGTTAAAAACTGGCCATGATATGTCACCAACAAATAAAATAAAAACACACTGGACTTTTAACATCTTTAAATAGATGTATTCCATAATACACAGTACTTTCTTGGGTGGTGGGAGACCAGCTCTGAACCTCTCATCAAGAAGAGACTCGAAGTACAGGCAAGGGCCCAGGCTGAGAGAGCCAGGAGAAGTGGCTATAATGTCTGTGGTGCCTCTCTGTAAGATCACTTATTGTCCACAAGTGATGCTCCCTAAAAAACAAACAAAAACACCCAACCCTGGGGGACTACAGGAACTGATGGTGTGGTATCTCAGTTCCAAGTGGCTTTCTTTGGTTCTACAAGAGATGGCATAACACCCAGATGCAGCTAGCTCTGCTTCTCTCATAAACTCTGCAGACAGTAGGTACCTGGCAATAATCAAACTAAAACCTTAACAGCAACTGGCACACAAGTAAACGCAGGCCATATCAGAACATGGATGGAGAGTTCTTAGGGAGTCTGCAGGAAGGGACTGTGTGCATGGATACCAGGTATTTTCTTACTATATATCTCTGGCTGGCATAAAACTCACGGCAACCCTTCTGCCCTAGTCTCTCAAGTATAAAGATTATAGGTATGAGTTACTATGTCTGACACATCCTATTCCACTTATATGGACACCCCTACCCCCCAAAAGTATCATGGCTCTGGAATATTTATTAAGTCAGAGTTGGACTTATCAACAAAAGCTCTTAGGAAGATAATTTAGTAACAATCACATTTTACAGACATAAAGTAAAAAGAATCACTAGTACACAGATTCTAATCCCCGTGGATTCTGAATACAAATGCAGTCTGTGAAGACCATTCAATGGTGAACACTGGTAACTTTGAGTGACACACACCACTTGGGAAGTGCTCTCAAAAGAGATCTATGCAGAGTTGGGATCTCATACTCTGTAGAGAGGGTCAACTAGCCAAGGCAGAAGACATGGCTGTCCCAAAACTCTCAGTCCTTGAAGACTGCAGCCCTAGAATTAGAGAACCCTAGCATGGTGGCCAAAGCAGCCACAGGAAGTGCCTACCAAAAGCAAGGCTACTAATCCAGTTCTGCCAAATTTAAGGCGGCTACATTAGGGTTGTCCAAAGAACTTGAGCAAGAAGGAAGACGCGCGCGTGCACGCACGCATACACACACACACACACATACACACACACACACACACACACACACACACAAACGCACACACACACACACACACACACACACACACACACACACAAAGATATGTAATACATATTAAATTGGCTCACATGACCACAAGGGTCATCTGCAAGGTGCAAAGCTACGGAAGTTAGATACTCAGAATGAGAGAGATCCATGTACAAAGGCCATTCATACAAACCACAGAGTTGAAAGGACAAAGAAGCTGGAGTCTGATATCCAAGGCAAAAGGCATGCTTGCTTGGGAGGGGAGAGACAGAAACTGTTGTGGATAGCCCTGTATTTTGATTGTATTTTGATGCTAACTCCGCTCTCCTGGGAGGGGCTGTGGATGAGGAGTGAGGTACTCAAGTAACTTGAAAACCATACCCTAATGAATAAAGGAGCCAATCACAGGGCAAGTAGGAGGGAGAGAGGAAGCAGGAGATAGGTCCTTTTCGGATGGGGACAGCGTGAGGACAAGATACAGCTATTAGTGTCTCCCAGATTCTATGGCAGATTTGCCAGGATTCACCACTGGAATATTTAGATTTAATATAGATACAAGATTAGGATTCTAGTTGTTGCGCCAAGAGATTGAGTTATCATTGTTTCTGAACTAAGTTTGTATGGTGTTTTCCTTCCCGTGACGGTTCTATTGGGTTCCAGAGAGAACGATACAATAGCAAAGCTTGGATTTGCCAGATGTGCACCAGAAAGGCCGTGGGGGTTTTGAAGCATAGAGCTGACGTGGTAGCGACCCACCAGTGGGAACTTAGTGAGCTGGGTGGAGAGATTTTGGAGCACTAAGTCAGAGAGTCTCCATGAGATAAAAACAGGTCAGCCATTGCCTGCCAGTGCATACATAGCCTGACTGCCTGTGCACAGCCGCCCAGCCCACAAGGGCAGAGAGTAGCAGGACATAGTGCAGGAACATGCCAATCTTTTTAAATATTTCCTGCAACAAGAAATAGGTGAAATGTCTCTCTTCCTCCACACCCTGTTCAATCTCAGCCGGGCCTACTGAATGGTTCTATGCTACCCACATTTAGGACAGGTCTTTCTCATTCAGATCACTGACACACATGCAATTCTTCTCTGAAACATACTTGTAGACATTCCATGATTTGCCAGTTGATTCAATCCACCTTCAGAGGCAGGGTCAGAGCTATCACAGTAGAGTGGGCTGAGCCACAGGCGTATCTAGCCAAACATACAGCCCGATTGTGGGGGTCTGCTGACTGCTATTCACTTGGCTTTATTCATCTGGATTCACATCTCACTGTCGTACTCATGGACTTTATTTAACCCACACCTTGCCAGACTCTAGGTGAGATCTACTTGGTGAACTTAATAAACCCAGACTGGTAGCTAGGAAAATTCACCATTTTCATTTTAATATACTTGGTTTTGCCATTATACATAGACAAGTGGGCTCTCAGGCAGGAGTGATGAGGACACGGAGGGCGGATGATACAAATGGAAAAGCTCATGGAGCTAGAGTCCAAGCAGGAGTGGGGTGCTAAATACTGGAGAGACTAATTAAGTCTGCTCCAATTACTGTAATTAAAGACCTCACTGCTCATTGGAAAGACCTGGACAAAGGGCCATCACAGCAGGTTCGAAACCTTGATGGGAGCTCTGCACACAGGTGACGACACTTACCAAAACACACCTGCCCGGCTCAAGGCTCCAGAGGGAACTCTCCGTGTTGATCTTGTGAGTGAGCCTCCCTTCCATGAGGACACGCTCTCCACTCTCTTCCAACATGGCCACTCGGATGGAGCCACTGCTAAGGGCCACAGAGACCTGAGAACACACCAGGAAAAAAATCATCTTGCTTGTGAAGGTGGGAGCTCCTCCATCCCAGCTGTGCTTGGGCTCACCAAGCATTTCTGTGAAGGAAGCCATACCAAACTAGTTCACATTCCAAGCAACCTGAATCTATCAACTCCCTTAGGCAAATGCACCAGAAAATTTTTTATCATTCTGGTGCGTTTATCTAAGGAAGCTTCCGCCACAACACTTGACTTTCTACCCAAATCTTTTCCCCTCTGCAGTGACAGACACTGGTTCTCATGCTGGGAGGCAAGCAGAAGACATAGGAGTTAGGTTCTTCCTTCCATCTCCCTTGTGACTCCCTAGACTGCCTGAGCTCAAGGTTTTGGAGGGAATCCTCAATGCTCCTTTCCAGGAGGATCTCTCCATTCCCCTCTCAAATAGCCAGTCAGGCACTGGCAAGACCTTCTCTCTTACCTCTTAAGGCCCTGGACCACTATGCCTAGAGCAGCTCACCCAAAACTTTCTGGCCAAAGACAAATGTGGCTGGCCTCTTCTTTCCCTGAGCTGCTACAAAGGGTGTGACCATAGATACCTTAGTCTTTGTCTAGGACAGTAAAATCAGTTCCTTCAGCTTTGTTTTTGTCTGTCTGTCTGTCTGTCTGTCTGTCTGAGACAGAGTCTTACTATGTAGCCCTAAGTGGTCTAGAACTCACCACATAGATTAGGCTTGCCTTGAACTCACCAAGATCCTCCTGGCTCTGCTGCCTAAGTGGTGGGATTAAAGGCATGTGCTACCATGCTTGGTCTTTTACTTGGTTCTTCATAAAACCAGACTCAGAGCCTGCTCTGGGCAGGGACTGTCTATGTGTCTATTTTGCTATCATGGGTGTATCTCTTCCTGCTCTGAATATATGTCTCCACAATGGACTAGGAAGTGCTAGGAAAAGGTTAACTCTAACAACCCTAACCATAAGCTCAATAATTAGAAAAGAAAATATATTTGTATTTGTTTCACTTTTATTATTTTAAAAAGACATTATTAACAAGGCAGTGCTGCGCGCCTTTAATCCCAGCACTTGAGAGGCAGAGGCAGGTAGATTTCTGACTTCAAGGCCAGCCTCACCTACAGAGTTGAGTTCCAGGACAGCCAAGGCTACACAGAGAAATCCTGTCTTGAAACCACATAAAAAAAGACTTTTTTTTGGAGTATCTGCCCAGATGTTAACTAGTCGAGCCTCCTTACTCTGAAAATTTTGCACCACAGGTATATTTGTATAATGCACATACTAAACAGACATTGGGGACAATTCAGATTCTTTTTCTAATGGGTTTATGAAGTTAAATTTCAGAGATTACCTGGTAGATGCTCATTAAGTGCTTCATTTTAGATGTGGGAGGGAGTGCTTTTAATTTTCTGAGTCAAGTACTATTTGCTAATGAATTCTAGTATTCTAGTATTCATAGTAAAAACCTATGTAGTTTTGTGTGTATGTGTGTTAAGGGGTACATGTATGAGTGTGTGAATGTGTGTGCCTACATGTGAAAGCCAGAGACAATTTTGGATATTATTTTTCAGGCACCTATAGACCTTGTTTTTGAGCCAGGGTCTCACACTAGCGTGGAACTTGATAACTGGGCTAGGCTGGCTGGCCAGCAAGCCCCAGGAATCTGCCTGTCTCTGTCTCTCTAACTCTGGCATTATAAGTACTTGCCACCATACCTGGGGTTTTTGCTCTTTTTATGAGGGTTCTGAGAATTGAACTTAGGCCCTCATATTTACATGGTAAGCATTTTACCAATTGAGCTATCTCCCCAGCCCCTAAATGCATTTTAAGTATCCATCAACAAAAAATTGAGCCCCCCTGCCCCGGAAAGATGAGTCAGTGATTAAGGACCCAGATTTGATTTTCAGCATCTACCCATATGGCAGTTAATAACCATCTCTAACTCCAGTCTCACTCAGTGGATCTAACCTCCCCTTCTAGCCTCCTTGGGCATCAGGAATGCATGTGATACAAGCACACATGCAAGTAAAACACCCATGCACACAAAATGTAATAAAAATAAGGGGAGAAGAGTTTGGAAGAATTCCCTTATTAAAAAAAAGAGGGGGGGGGGAGACTAACCATACATGATAGTGATCCCACCTTATACTCTCAGTGAAAAAGCTTGTGCATTAGAAAGCCTATGTGCATGCTTGGGGGAGGAGGTAATAGAAGGACTGCTCCAGAGGACACATGGCCCTAATAAGACAAGTTGTCACACAGTACTTGTCACAGCCACACTGCCAGGTTCAAGTGCAGACTCGGTGAGGCATCATCTCATGGGACTTCAGAAACACTGTCTTAGGACTTCTCATGGGACTTCTGGCACTGTCACCCTCTCTATATATTTATTGTTAAAGTCTTTACCTGGATAGTCTTGCTGATTACAGTCTAGGCTCACTGTCCACCTTCTAACAGCCAAAGAGACAGAAGCAAATGTGCATGGCTCATTCCTGATAACCATGACAAATGTTGGCCAAATTATCTAACTATGAATTTCTACTTGCAAACAAGACATGATACAGGTCTTGGTACTACTTCCCAAGTACAAACTCACCTTAACAAACTCCCAGTAGTTTTATACAACATGCTCACTTCCAAATTTGGGTATGATTCTAACAGGAACTAACCAGTATAATTAAATCCCCAAAGGAGGAACCAGGACAGAAAGAGACAGTGAAGGGAAGAATGGATGAGTGTCCAGCACATCTGTGAAGACAGAATGACACATGGCATAGATGCCATAGGCTGGGGGTCATTGCACACTGGCAGCTAGAATCTCTGGCTAGGAGAAGGCAGGTACAGAAACAGCATATGTGAGAACAGCTTAGAGCCAGCCCAAGGGAACAGCTGGATCTGCAGGAGCAGCTTGCTTCAAAGATTGACCATCATTCTGAGGAGCTGGTATGATGGCCATGCTCTAGGTAAAATACTAATTCCTCAAACAAAGAAACCACTAAGGCTTCATACCTTGTCAGGCAAACCTAACTGTCAATTCACTCAGTTGACAGATGATGGCGAGACAGATTTTTGAAATGGAACAGAGAAAACCATCCATAAAGCCCCACACTTAAGACAACGTGGGAAGATACTAAATATCAACAAGAAAAATAAATCTTGTAGAGAAATGAGAGTTCTATCTTACAAAAAATGCAACATGAAGGAAAAAGGCTAAAAAGCAAAACCAAAGATGATAGACTTAATCAGGGAAAAAAAAATGTATTTAAATAGTTCCAGTTTATAACTTTGCCTGACCAAGAAAATTGAAAAAAAAAACCCAAAACCTAAAAACATAATTGCAAAAAATAAATAAATAAAATTTCAACAAAAAGGCTAGAAGACAAATCAAGAGATCAATTTATTAAAAAATGAGTAGTCCAGAAATTCTAATAATCTAATTCTCTAGAAGTATAAGAAACTATTCCTTTCTGTTGAAAAGAATCCCTGAGAGCTGAGCAGAATGAAAACAGGATGACTTAGACTCATGTACTTTGATAACATTGAGTGTTTTTCAGAAGGTCCTATTAGTACTATAAAAGACATGATAAAGTTTACTCACAAAGAACCCAAGTAGATGAGACATGCAGAATCAGCAGCACTGTAAGAAATAGGAGGGGGTCAAACTGAGATGCTCAGCTGATAATGAGTTTGTTGCTAAACCTGATGATCTGAGTTCTATCACAGAGATCCACAAGATGAAAAGAGAGAACCAATTCGTGCAAGCTGTCTTCTGACCTCCACACACCATGGCATGTATGTGTGGATGGATGGATGGATGGATGGATGGATGGATGGATGGATGGATGGATGGATGGATAGACGGACAGACAGACAGACAGACAGACAGACAGGTAATGTAATTTAAAATTTAAAAATGGCTTTGACACACACTCAAACTGTGAAATAGGTAAAGGTTAAAAATAAATACATCTTCAAACATACAAGGTCTCTCTCACACTATCATTTCAGTGAGGAAAACCTAAATGAGAAAACTAGAAGAAGTACTATTCAACAGGGATACAAACACTGTACCGTGTTAATCTCGGAGTGCAAGGCACAACTGGAAACAAATCACTCATGCTGGAGTCACAGGTGAGAAAGTCAAGAAGAAAGTTGATTTCTGGACAACACAGAGTATGACTAATTCAGTAACTTGAAGGTCATGAGGAAAGTGCATTGTTTTTGACAATATATATAAAAAAAAAAGCAGTAAGAAATCTCTAAAAAATAAGATTATAAGAGAAATTCCTAACTCAAAAGTAAAAATGGTGAAGGAGCTCCTAAAAAGCCTTTTTTCCATATGTGCTCCAAAAGCATGACACGACCAAAAAAAACCAAAACAAACAAACAAACAAACAAACAAAAAGCCGGGCGGTGGTGGCGCATGCCTTTAATCCCAGCACTTGGGAGGCAGAGGCAGGCGGATTTCTGAGTTCAAGGCTAGCCTGGTCTACAGAGTGAGTTCCAGGACAGCCAGGGCTATACAGAGAAACCCTGTCTCAAAACAAAACAGACAAACAAAAAAAAAAAAAAAAAAAAAGCATGACTCAATCTGTAGGCATTTCACTATGCACTTTAGAAACTAACCAGGGAAAGCTATAGAAGAAACCCAGCAAGCTCTGTGACCTCCTACTTTGCCCTAAACCCATCCATCCTCTCTGCCCTAAGCAGATCCAATTCCCACTGTACTAGTCACCACCATAAGAATCGAACAGAGATGGCTCTCTCAAAGCTCCATTCTCAAAGCCTTGTATAACCTACCAAAGGGTGTTCAGAAGACCCTACCAACAGAAAGGATGGGTACTGGGGTGTGCATGTGCATGTACACCTGGACATAAAGTTGTTTTCAAAAGACCTTTCCCAGGAAGAGTGTCTGTTAAAAAATCATTATAGGCAACTATTTTAACTCTGAGGCAATGAATAATAAATGAAGAAACTAAAGAAAGGCTCCCTCTCCCAGCTTCAAGTGACCTCAGAAAATGT